TATGATATATATGTGATTGGATGCTTTCTTTCATTAATTGATTGACTGGTTGATACAGAGCTAGATAGAAGACAAAGGCAATGCGAAATTGATTGAAGAAGATGCAGATTCCTTTGCCAAACGTGCAGAAATGTTTTACAAGAAACGGCCAGAGTTAATTAGCATGGTTGAAGATTTTATCGGGCCCATCGGTCATTAGCAGAGCGGTATGATCAAGTGAAGTCTGAAACTGGAACTCGTGTCCTAGAACATTTGGATCCATTCTCTTCAGTCAAGCACAAAATCAGAGAAATTATCAAGTGTAATGGGTCAAACCTACTATAGCTACTCAGAGACTTCCGATGCAGAGGACTATGCTGATCTGAAGTTGACAATCCTGAAAGGAGGCTGAAATTGAAATTGAAAATGAAATTGAAGGAGTTGAGGATCCTGAAGTGGAAAATGACACCAAGTTGATATAGAATAAAAGAAGATGAAGATTCTGAACAGGAAGAGGAAATTCAAGTGTTAAAGAATTGAAAAAAGATGTTGTTTCAAGTGAGTTCGTAATGATGAAATCAAGGTGTTGAGGAAGAAAATTCAGAGACTTAAAGAGGAACAAGATACAGGAGGATCAACTAATGCAGAGGATGAAGAGAAGAGAGAAGTGATTAGACACGTGAGCATGACTGTGGGAGTGCTCAAGGAAGAAAATATGAAGCTGAGAAAGTTATAGCTAGAGACTCCAAGAAAGCAGCCCCTTTGAGTTCAAGAAATTGAAGGAGGATTTTAGGAAAGTTATTTAGTGGGTCTTCAAAGTCTCAGGGTAGTGGTTTGCCTCTCTAGATCTCTAGATATGGGTTGGAATTGGATGCTGGGAAGTAGCCTAATCTGTAGCACAGGTTTATATAGAATATAGCATGTAAATGGGGATATTTTAGCTCAACTTAACAAAGTTAGAGTAGTGTACATTTTGGTAGTTCCATTGTTTTTGGTTTACGTTGAAGATGTTATCATATGTATATAGATGTATAATAAAATTTATAATTATGCAAATTTTAATCTGATTCACATATAACCTTTTGGATGTTCAAATTTTCCTATGCTAGTAGCCTAGTAAAGAGAAATTCACTTCACTGCAAACAGAGCCTGCCAGGTAACATTAATGAATATGGCAGTCTCATTTTTAATGGAAAAGAAATAAACTAAACTGTTCCATAAATTTTACACTATCAGTCTCAAAAAAAATTCTTTCTCAACACAATAATAAAGTACACGAATAACAGGAACAACTAATTATTCGTTATTTTTTTTAAAACATTATCCTATCATAATGCCCAACAATGCCATACACACTTGATTCACTAAAATCACTAAAGCAAATACATAACCACAAAAGAATATACAAACATAAAGTGGACGCACTACTGACAATAATTGGAACTGCCATTCAGTACCTCACATACAAGAAGCTGCATTGCAAACAGTAGAAAACCAAAAAAATGCTAACTTTAATGGCGCTGCTGAAACTGAGGAGGAACTGGCAAAGATCCAAATGGTGACAAAGCCAATTCAGGTCCAGGTGCTATTAACGTCTGGATTGGAGGGCTTGGACTGAAGGAATTGTTGGGAGAGATGATCAGTTGGAGAAGGAGCCATACCTTTAGGAGTAGGAAAACAAGGAGTAAGTCTGGTGATAAAGTTGGAGTTGAAGCTATGGGAATAGGAGCACTAGGCAAGAATGCGGGCAGCTGATATTGTGGAGACTTTGCAGTATTTGAGTTGAAGAAAAAATAGTGATAAAGAGCATAAAGTTGCCAAGAAGGACCAAAAGGAAGCCATTAAATGATGCGTAATCAATTCTCCTATAATCAACTTCAATAAATGTGTATATTCAACTTCAAGAAGAGAGAGGAGAGGTAATGAAAAGAGAATTATGAGGAGAATGAGGAGAAGTAAAGGATGGTGAAGGCTTAAAAGTTGAGCTCAAAAAGTGGTGGTAGGGACAGAATGATAGGTGGCAAAAGATGATGGGTTGTCTTATGAAAATACAGCTCTGCATTTTTGCTAAGTGACAAGATTGATTATGCAAAATTCTTCCGGAGCACATGAAGTGGGTGGGTCTTTTATCTTTTCTCTGAGTGTTGTGTGCTGTATACCGTTAGTATGCCCGTGAATTTTTGTTGTGAAGGTTTAAAAAAGACTTTTGCTATAAGGAGAGTGATATTATATTATTATCTCTCTCTCTCACTGATGGTTAACTTGCTGGTACTGTGCGTGAAGTCAATGGGGTTAATTTGGATGCACAATGATGAGTTTTTTCTATTGCAGGGTTGAAATATAATTATTTAGAAAACAGCAGTTTGTAAAAGTAAATATGTTTTGAAATTGAATTCAGAAAGATTTGTTTAAAGTCCAAATAGCAACAGGGGATGAGAGTGAGTGTGAACAGAGCCAACTCTGGTAAAACTTTACTGGGGATAGTAATAGGAGGAGACCATTCTATCTCTAGATTTAAATATTGAAAATGACACCTCACCCCGTCATAAATAAATTTTGGACTCTTCTCATTTTACAGCTTCAACTTCAACCGGATCTTCAATTATAATATAAAATAATAGTTATGTCATCAAACGCCGAAAACAAACAAACACATAAACGCCAATAATAATAATAATAATATTAGCTAGTGCCTAGTGGGTAGAGTTAGGATTAGGAAAGGAAGCCCATACTCCTTTAGCCAATAGAGGGTGGGCCTTCCTTACTGAGCCCGTCCGCACTCCACCCCAAACTCATTATGGATCAAAAGATTTTTCAATTTAGAAACAAACTTGTGAAAATAATCTTGTATTTGTATTACTACTTGATGAATGGGAGGTTAGGGAACAATACAAGTTCTTTAGCGGGATAATTCTATTGCTTTAGAAGACCCCTTTTAAAGGTTTAGAAAAGCATTTGATTGGGAAAACAGCAACAACAAAGCTGGAAGAAGTTGATCACATGATTGGGAAAAGAACAGCAAAAAAGCTGGAAGAAGTTGAACAAACATGGATTTATATCTAAATCTCTAATATCTGTCCTCTACCAGTATAATTAAGGATGTATTTTTCCAGTGAACGGATTGCCTCTAAACCAATACTTGATTAGTTGTCTTATTTATTACAATTCCTTCATACGTATATATATATATTATATTTGTTTTTTGAATAATTGCTTATATTATATAAAAACTCCAAGGGATTGGTTTAACGGTTAAGAAGAGCCACTTATTTTTTATGACTAGAGTGTTCTGGCCAGTTTGCGTGTATCTCAATTAATCTCTGGGACTCAAGGTAAGTCACAAATATAGTAGGTGATTCCAAGGTTCAAATCTAAAAAGCTAATGAAATGAGCAAACCTTCTTGACCGCTAGGCCAATCCATCGTAGTTTTCATATATATTATATTATATTGATTAACATTTTCATCTTAAATCTTTCATACTCAAATTAATTGTTTTTTTCACCAAATTTTGATAATGAATTAAGTTGTATTATCCATATTTTATAAAGCAGCTCAATTGAAGTAGCTTAACCTTGTCAATTTGACTCTATCGACCCAGCTTCTTATGTTTATTGATACTTGCCTAACGGATTGTTGTTATAATAAATTACTCAAAAAATATTTTTCATCAATTGTAAATGACACCGACAATCTTTTAAATGAGTAATACTACATTTATATCACTCTCTTATATCATATTCATTACATCATGATGTGACATATATCATAATCACATAAATTTTTAATTATTTTTAATTTTTAATATTATAATAGAATTTGTGTGGTTGTGGTATATACCACATCATGATGTAATGAAAATAGTGTAAAAGAGTAGTGTAAATGTATCATTACTTCTTTTAAATTATATAGTAGTGGAACCTAACCTCACTTAAATCTAAATAAATCTACAAATAACTATAGAGAATTTGGCATTATGGATAGCTTTAGTAATTGGAAATGAAGTGGGTATTTTATTTAATGAAATTGACATATATTTCACTAATTCTCCTCGAGATTCTTGCGTTGTTACTTGTACAAATAATTTTTGTTTTATCTTTTTGAATTATCATTTTTTATATTATTATGTGACAATTTACAAATAATTTAAAATTATTTTTTAAATAAAATTAAACATAGGAAATTTCTCATTATTTTTCCTACCAAACATCTTAGGATTTGATGTCCCGTGACACTCCTTACCTTCTAACGTCAAACACAGCAGGCCTTTCTCAATTGCAACCACGTCACTCTACGTTCACCACGTATCTGAGGTCTGAGCACATGGCATTTCAAAGAACATGAAATAACTCATAAATGCTGATATTTTATTAAAATATGATTCTACTATTACTTTGAAATTTAAATCTTGTTGGATTTCAACTATAATTTTTCTTATTACATTTAGAAGTCCTGGGATTGAATTCTTGAATTGTAATAAAAAATTATAAAGTATTGATGATGCTTTGGGTGATTCCTTGCACGTAACAGTCTCCAAAGTTGTTGTATCATTCTCAGCTTAGATTTTTCAGTGATGTTAACAACGATTTCTTCTAAACATTATTTAATTAAATTACTATAATTATATACTATGAATATTATTTAATTAAGTAGACAAGTATAATGAATTTAAATCATTGCTTTAATATATATTTAGTGGATTAGTTCATATTCAATTGATTATATTGGTAAAATATAATAAATTTTTAGTTGATTAAATGTATGTTTATCTAATCATAAATACATCTTTTAATTAATAAAATCTATATGGTCCTACAGTTATTAGTTTATAAAGGTTATATTGTATTTATCAAATTTCTGGTCCACTTTAAATTAATTATATTATCATAATAAAATGACGTGAAAAAGTTATTAAACGATAGTTAGGGTAAAATTTTCTTAAAATAAACCTGTAGTAATGATCATCAGTTTCCATAATTACATCATTTACTGTGTGTATATACTATATACCATATAAGTGGCCATAATCACAACAATCCTTATGCCGTGGAGCCGCTGAGCTAAATGAAAGAAAAAATGGAAGAGGAAGCATGTGTTATAATAGTAGGGTGTGGCCCCTCCGGTCTCTCGGCGGCCGCCTGCCTTAACCAGCTCTCAATACCTTACATAATTCTTGAGCGAGAAGATTGCTACGCGTCTCTTTTTAAGAAATATGCGTATGATCGTCTCCATCTTCACTTGGCTAAACAGTACTGCGAGCTTCCTCACTTGCCATTCCCTGCTTCTTATCCAACTTTTGTTCCCAAAGACCAATTCATCCAACACTTAGATCACTATGTTTCTCATTTCAACATCACTCCTCTGTACCAAAGATCGGTCGAGTTGGCAAACTACGATGAAGACACCAAGAAATGGATTGTTAAGGCTATGAATATTGTTTCTGATGAGATTGAGGAATACAGAGCCAGGTTCTTGATATTGGCAACTGGAGAAGCAAGCACTCCTTTTATACCAGAGATTGAAGGATTGACTACTTTCACTGGAGAAGTTATTCACTCAACTCGCTATAAAAACGGCAAGCCATATGGTAATATGAATGTTCTTGTTGTTGGGTCTGGTAATTCTGGCATGGAAATTGCACTAGACCTAGCCAATCACGGTGCTAAAACCTCCATAGTTGTTCGTAGTTCGGTAAATAATCAGTCTCATTTAATCTCTACATATATATTATATATTTTGACAAATGGACTTAATTATTTAATTTTTGGATTGTTGAATGATGGTACAGGTTCATATATTGTCAAAACAGATTGTGTACTTGGGATTTGCTATGTTAAATTATTTTCCTTATGGAATGGTGGATTCGTTTATGGTGTTTCTAAGCAAGCTTGTTTACGGAGATCAGAGCAGGTATGGAATTGGGAGACCTAAGGAGGGTCCATTTTTCCTGAAGAATGCATACGGCAAGTACCCAATCATCGATGTCGGAACTTTCAAGAAGATTAAATCCGGAGAGATCAAGGTAATAAAGAGAGAGTCATGGCTACATCGTTTTTTCCGTTCTTTGTTTCTGTCGGTTCCTAAATTATATTAATTGAGGGAGGTGGGATTCGTTGTTGACATTTTCATTACTTGAAGAAAAAACTTTTGCTGGAGTAAGTTATTTGAGTTGACTTACTATCATTTTCTATTGCCTTATACGCTAACTTAGTGTTAAATTAATTGCACGTGTAGAGCCAAAAAGTGAGAAAACTAAATAAAATGATTTAAAATTAATTAGTTAGCAAGAAGTGTTGTCCAGTGCAAGGGCCACGAGATATTGGTGCATTTATTTTGCGTAGTAACAATCAAATATTAAACTCACCATTTATCTTGAAATGTGCAGGTGTTGCCAGCTATAGAAAACATAAGAGGCAATGAAGTGGTATTCGAGAATGGCGAGTCACATCCATTTGACTCAATTGTTTTTTGTACGGGGTTCAAGAGATCAACAAATAAGTGGCTTAAGGTAAATTGATTTATTAAAGATATAATAAATCGAAAGCATATAAAATAAATACAGAGCTAATAATTTTAATTATGTAGGGAGATGATTACTTATTGGACGAAGATGGAATTACAAAAGTGAGCTACCCAAATCATTGGAGAGGAAAGAATGGTTTGTTCTGCGTTGGATTGTCAAGGCGAGGACTTAATTTAGCTGGTATTGATGCTCAGAGTGTAGCTGATGAAATCAAATCACTTCTGTCCCTCAAATCAACTGCTTAAAGTTAAAGATATATTATGCATGAGTTGATTCTGCGTGTGTAAATTTTTGTTGCTCGAGCAGCTTTGTTCGGAAATAACGGCATGAGATTGTCCGTTTAAGGTTACGCTAATAAAACTCCGAAATTTGAGCATACTTCCATTTCATAGCCATGGTTCAAAGATTTTGCATCCCTACTTTCTTCATTGTGCCTCTTCAATTCTACCTTAGAGGACACCAAAAGTGTAATGTACTTCATTAAGTGTACTTAAAATTATAAATGGTAATTACTTAAGTTAAAATGCTCATGGATCAGATATTAGCTTGCTTTTCCTATGGCCTGGTTCCATTTAGATGGAGTGTTTTATTGGGCCATTGACTCAACCTTTTAAATCTATACTACCACCACTCTTGTCACATTATTTTCTATTAAATAATTTATATTTGTAATTTAGTTGTTAAGAGAAATGTATAACAAAACTAAAAAGAGATCAGACAGAGATCTATTTAACTCACCATCTTAATCATCTTAATATATGATAAAGATTAAGATAAGGACAAACGTCACAAACGGACAATGAATCTTATGCATCACCCACCATTAATTCGGACTTTTTAATAAAACAACTTCCTAATAATATAACTAGAGTAATACTACACTTACAAAGATTTTATATGAAATTATTTATAGAAAGTGACATGACAATACTTTTGCATTGACATATTATTCACTATCATTTAAAATTCATTTACGTTGTGTGGGAAATTTGCAGAGGATAATTCCCTATTAGGAGAGAAGATATTTAGATTGATTCAATTGAAAGGAAGATATTCAGATTAACTTAGATTCCAACTAAGGTAGTCGAAAATCATGCAACTTCCTAATCATACTTATTTGAATCTTACCTCAACTCTATCATGTAAATAGGTGCTATATAAACCTATCATAACTTGTTTTTTGAGGGGCTGGACAATTGTTCTAGGAAAAGATTCATCATTTGTAATTCTCATTCAATAGAAACAGTGGACGTAAACTCAAGATTCAAACTTGCTAAACCACTTTAAAAATTGTCTCTTGTCATAACTCATTTTTGCTCTTTAATTATTCAAATGCTGATTTTCATTAAGTCACACACATCTCAGTTTCGATTCATTCAAGGTCAATCGAATCTCTTTAGTTGGTGTGAATTTTCAGATCAACATCTTAACACTAGAAGGAGGGGCTTGAACACTCCGAACTCTTTCTGTTTTTTAGCAGTTTCTTTTCCATCTTTCAATCACAAAAAAACCAACCATGGCTATAGCCCATGTCGCCAAATCCAACTCTGGAATCAAAGCTATTGTCGGTTGGGGAGTATTGAGCGTGATGAAGTATGAGTCTAGCGAAGTGTAAACATAAAAGTTGTAGATCTTCTGGTAAGCTTTCCAATGGTTTGAGAATCGTCCAAATCCAAGGTTTGCAGCTCAAGTTATTGTCAAATTACTGAAGTATGTTCCAAACTCGCCATAACTCGTTAATAAGAGTGTAGACTCGCCATAACTCGTTAATGAGGGTGCAAACTTGCCATCACTCGTAAATGAGAGCACGAGCTTGACAAAACTTGTTAATGAGAGTGCGAACTTGCCATAACTTGTTAATAAGAGTGCGAACTCACCATAATAGGATTGTAAACGAGCCGAGCCAAGTTTTTGGCTTATCGAGCTCGACTCGTATGCTACAAGATTGAGCTCGAGTTCAAGCTTGAGCCTGTCAAGTCAGAGAAAGCGAGCTTGAACTTGAGCTTGAGCTGGCTCGCAAGCTCCAGTTCAAGCTAGGCTCATTAAGGGTCGAACTGCTTGGGCATGACCCTCCGCCAATTTCAACCCTACAGGCTGTTTTTTGCTCTTGAACCTATTTAAATACATAATTTTGCATCCAAAAATAGCTACTGCATCCTCAATCATATTAACCATGACAGTGGCGGAGTTAGGATTTTTGCTCCGGGGGGGCCTCCACGGCTCCGCCATTGTTTGCCAAACAACTAGTGTAAACTTTTAAAAACCCATCAAACCTTAAGCAAAACCTTGAGCAAATGTGTTGACAAGAACATCCAATTCACAAGGAAACAAAAGAAAATTTTTACGTGGAAAAATCTCTTCAATGTGAAGAGAGCAAAAAACCACGAGAACTTAAATCTAATATAACCAAAAGAGTTTACAACAACCACAATCCACCAAAAATACTTCACACAAATTTAGAGGTCAATCACAACTCTAACACAAGTAAAATACATAAAAGTTTACAAAGAGATGGATTAAAATCACCAGAGAAGCAGTCAAACTTCATGTTGTATAACTCCAAATTCAGACGTTAATATCAAAACTCAACTATCTAGATTAAAGATCCACACATCCTCTGTGTATTAAACAAAAAATCAAGTTAGAATGGTATACCTGAAGATTTGAATATATGAATATTGATTGTTTAAATATAAAAGCAAGTTAGAATGGTATACCTGAAGATCTTCAATTTAACATGATTTTCCGCTTCGATATATTCTGAAAGTGTTCAATGATATCTTCATTTTCAATTGTAGCAAAAATTTCCTTTTCAATGTAAACCACCAAGCAATTATTCATCCAGTCGTCTCCCGTTCGATTATGCAAACTATTTTTCATAAGATTCATTGCAGAGAATACCCTTTCAACTGTTGCAGTAGCCACAGGCAAAACCAATGCTAATTTAATAAGCAAGAAAACTTTGTTGTAAGCAACATCCCTCTTAAACTCAACCATTTTTTTTAGCAAGGTCGGCAATCCCTTCAACATGAGTGAAATTGGCATTGGTGCTAACGTCCTCATAATAGTTTTCAAGTTGATCATTGAGCAACCAAATATCGTGTTGAGGAAAATCGGCAGGATAGAACTTTGCAAATTCAAGTAATCTATCTTTGTTAAATACAACAAAAGAGTTACTTGGATCAAGAGATGCCATACATTAAAGCAATCTCATATTTACTTCATCAAAATGATTATTGAGTTCTTCTTGAATGTTATCCAAAACTGTATACATCAATTCCACCTTAAAATGATGTTTATTCGTAATTGGCACAATCCCCCCGTTTTGTCCTCCCAAAGTTATCTTCCATATTCTTCAAGATTGGTATGTCATTATCTTTGCATATATCAGAAGCTTCTTTTAACAATATGTCGAAGCAAGTGTCTTCATTTCTCATTTTATGCAATCAACGCTTCTAAATTTGTACAAATTGTTTGCCATTAAGAAGATCCCGATCTTTTCTTTGTAATGCTTGTGATAGTTCATTTGTGATTCCCAATACTCTTTTCATTAAGAATAACAAAAAGATGAATTCAAAATTGTCCATGATTCGTAATAAACTCCTTGCTTGACTTTTGTTTTGCCAATTGTCTCCTTCAATTCAATCACCCTAAGCACATCAACAACAAAAGAAAATAATTTTATGACACTATGAATTGTCCTTATGTGTGAACCCCAACGTGTATCTCCTGATCGTTTAATAGTGTATTCTTGATTCAAACCTTGTCCCATATGAAGATCACCATCAGAAATCACATTTTCATATTGTTTATCATGTAGAAGATCTCTACGCTTACAAGATGCTGGTATAATGTTTGATAACATAAAAAGAGATTGAAAAAATTCACCCAATGCCGAATGATTACTTACAACTTTGACTAGCGCCAGTTGGAGTTGATGAGAGAAACAATGAATGTAGAAAGCTGATTTATTTTCTCTCAATATCAAAGTCTTCAAACCATTGAACTCACCCCTCATATTGCTTGCTCCATCATAACCTTGCCTCGTAACTTGTCAAACTCAATCCATGCTTTACAAAAAAGGCATCTATTGCAATTTTCAAAGACTTTGCAGAAATATTCTTAACATGCACAATCCCAATAAAACGTTCAATAACACAACCTATTTTGTCCACATAGCGAAAAACAATAACCATTTGTTCTTTCACTGCCACATCATGAGATTCATCAACTAGTAAAGGGAACGGTTGTTTAGCTCTCACAATTTTTGCAATAATTTTCTTAGTCGTCAAATGAGCACAAACACTAGTTAATTCCCTTTGGATGTTGGGGGCCGTCATTTGATGGTTTTTTGGAGCATTTTCCAGCACAACTTTTTTTACGTCGTCATTATGATTGGATAGAAACTTCAATAGTTCCATAAAGTTACCTTGATTTTCAGATTCAACCGACTCGTCATGACCACGAAATGTCAATCCTTGATGTAAAAGAAATCTAATGCAATCAATTGATGCATTCTAGCGAATGCGATAGTCCAATTTGGCCTTTGGTTTATCAAATCAACACACTTGGCATGACATTGGTTATGAGTACTAGAATGATCTCCAACATGTTTTTTCACTTTCGCTTTATCTTTCCAGTTATTAAATCCCTTACTCACAAAAACTTCACCACCTGCTTGGTCACCATAATCAGTTTTGAAAAGATAACAATTTAAACAAAAGATGCAATCTTTTGCCACACTATATTCCATCCAACTTGGACTTTCTTTGTACCACTCTGGTGTAAACCTACGCTTTTTATCTCCAAAAAGAGTGAAAGGAAAGTTATGATCTTTAGGTTGGCAAGGACCTTTCAACAAGTATGCTCTTCGAACTTCCTCCTTTTGCTTGTCAGTACAACAAATCTTGTTAATTTCCTCATTTTGCTTGTCAATACAACAAATCTTGTTAATTGGTATCCTCAATCCTGGATCAGTTTCAAGCTCATCTAAATTGAACATCCCGACCGAAGGTTGAGCTTCTTTTACTTGGTGTTGTTGTTGCTGATGTGGGACTTCTTCTTCTAATGGGATTTAATTAACCTCAATATCAATAGAGTCTCTATCAACAATTTTTGTTGGAATTTTTGTTAATCTCTTGAAATAATTGAATATCATAGCTATCAAATAAAAAAAAGATAATATGATACATGTAAAGAAAGACCGATCAAACTTTAATTAATAAAATTACAAGGACTGATTTATCACGTTTTTAGATGTAACAATTAGATCTAATTAAAAGATNAATAATATTAGCTAGTGCCTAGTGGGTAGAGTTAGGATTAGGGAAGGAAGCCCATACTCCTTTTCCATCAGCCAATATGGGGGTGGGCCTTCCCTACTGAGCCCGTCCGCACTCCACCCCAAACTCATTATGGATCAAAAGATTTTTCAATTTAGAAACAAACTTGTGAAAATAATCTTGTATTTGTATTACTACTTGATGAATGGGAGGTTAGGGAACAATTCAAGTTCTTTAGCGGGATGATTCTATTGCTTTAGAAGACCCCTTTTAAAGGTTTAGAAAAGCATTTGGTTGGGAAAACAGCAACAACAAAGCTGGAAGAAGTTGATCACATGATTGGGAAAAGAACAGCAAAAAAGCTGGAAGAAGTTGAACAAACATGGATTTATATCTAAATCTCTAATATCTGTCCTCTACCAGTATAATTAAGGATGTATTTTTCCAGTGAACGGATTGCCTCTAAACCAATACTTGATTAGTTGTCTTATTTATTACAATTCCTTCATACGTATATATATATATTATATTTGTTTTTTGAATAATTGCTTATATTATATAAAAACTCCAAGGGATTGGTTTAACGGTTAAGAAGAGCCACTTATTTTTTATGACTAGAGTGTTCTGGCCAGTTTGCGTGTATCTCAATTAATCTCTGGGACTCAAGGTAAGTCACAAATATAGTAGGTGATTCCAAGGTTCAAATCTAAAAAGCTAATGAAATGAGCAAACCTTCTTGACCGCTAGGCCAATCCATCGTAGTTTTCATATATATTATATTATATTGATTAACATTTTCATCTTAAATCTTTCATACTCAAATTAATTGTTTTTTTCACCAAATTTTGATAATGAATTAAGTTGTATTATCCATATTTTATAAAGCAGCTCAATTGAAGTAGCTTAACCTTGTCAATTTGACTCTATCGACCCAGCTTCTTATGTTTATTGATACTGCCTAACGGATTGTTGTTATAATAAATTACTCAAAAAATTTTCATCAATTGTAAATGACACCGACAATCTTTTAAATGAGTAATACTACATTTATATCACTTCTTATATCATATTCATTATCATGATGTGACATATATCATAATACATAAATTTTTAATTATTTTTAATTTTTATATATTATAATAGAAGTGTGGTTGGTTGTATACCACATCATGATGTAATGAAAATAGTGTAAAGAGTAGTGTAAATGTATCATTACTTCTTTTAAATTATATAGTAGTGGAACATAACCTCACTTAAATCTAAATAAATCACAAATACTATAGAGAATTTGGCATTATGGATAGCTTAGTAATTGGAAATGAAGTGGGTATTTTATTTAATGAAATGACATATATTTCACTAATTCTCCTCGAGATTCTTGCGTTGTTACTTGTACAAATATTTTGTTTTATCTTTTGAATTACATTTTTTATATTATTATGTGACAATTTACAAATAATTTAAAATTATTTTTAAATAAAATTAAACATAGGAAATTTCATTATTTTTCTACACAAACATCTTAGGATTTGATGTCCCGTGACACTCCTTCCTTCTAACGTCAACAAACACGCAGGCCTTTCTCAATTGCAACCACGTCACTCTACGTTCACACGTATCTGAGGTCTGAGCACAGGCATTTCAAAGACATGAAATAAAAAATACTAAATGCTGTATTTATTAAAATATGTTCTACTATTACTTTGAAATTTAAATCTTGTTGGATTCAACTATAATTTTTCTTATTACATTTAGAAGTCCGGGATTGAATTCTTGAATTGAATAAAAAATTATAAAGTATTGATGATGCTTTGGTGATTCCTGCACGTAACAGTCTCCAAATTGTTGTATCATTCTCAGCTTAGATTTTTCAGGTATGTTAACAACGATTTTTCTAAACATTATTTAATTAAATTATATATATTATATACTATGAAATTATTTAATTAGTAGACAAGTATAATGAATTTAAATCATTGCTTTAATATATATTAGTGGATTAGTTCATATTCAATGATAATTGGTAAAATATAATAAATTTTTAGTTGATTAAATGTATGTTTATCTAATCAAATACATCTTTTAATTAAAAAATCTATATGGTCCTACAGTTATTGTTTATAAAGGTTATATTGTATTTATCAAATTTCTGGTCCACTTAAATTAATTATATTATCATAATAAAATGACGTGAAAAAGTTATTAAACGATGTTAGGGTAAAATTTTCTTAAAATAACCTGTAGTAATGATCATCAGTTTCCATAATTACATCATTTACTGTGTGTATATACTATAACATATAAGTGGCCATTCACAACAATCCTTATGCCGTGGAGCCGCTGAGATAATGAAAGAAAAAATGGAAGGGAAGCATGTGTATAATAGTAGGGTGTGGCCCCTCGGTCTCGGCGGCCGCCTGCCTAACCAGCTCTCAATACCTTACATAATTCTTGAGCGAGAAGTTGCTACGCGTCTCTTTTAGAAATATGCGTGATCGTCTCCATCTTCACTTGGCTAAACAGTACTGCGAGCTTCCTCACTTGCCATTCCCTGCTTCTTATCCAACTTTGTCCCACAGACCTTCTCCCAACCTTTGATCACTATGTTTTACTTTCAACATCACTCTGTACCAAGATCGTCGAGTTGGCAAACTACGATGAAGACACCCAAGGGATTGTTAAGGCTATGTATGTTCTGATGAGTGAGGAATACAGAGCCAGGTTCTTGATTGGCAAATGGAGAAGCAAGCATCCTTTATACCAGAGATGAAGGGACTACTTTCACTGGAGAAGTTATTCACTCAACTCGCTATAAAAACGGCAAGCCATATGGTAATATGAATGTTCTTTGTTGGGTCTGGTAATTCTGGCATGGAAATTGCACTAGACATAGCCAATCACGGTGCTAAAACCTCCATAGTTGTTCGTAGTTCGGTAAATAATCAGTTCATTTAATCTCTACATATATATTATATTTTTGACAAATGGACTTAATTATTTAATTTTTGGATGTTGAATGATGGTACAGGTTCATATATTGTCAAAACAGATTGTGTACTGGGATTTGCTATGTTAAATTATTTTCCTTAGGGATGGTGGATTCGTTTATTGGTGTTTCTAAGCAAGCTTGTTTACGGAGATCAGAGCAGGTATGGAATTGGGAGACTAAAGGGGTCCATTTTCCTGAAGAATGCATACGGCAAGTACCCAATCATCGATGTCGGAACTTTCAAGAAGATTAAATCCGGAGAGATCAAGGTTAAAGAGAGGAGTCATGGCTACATCGTTTTTCCGTTCTTTGTTTCTGTCGGTTCCTAAATTATTAATTGAGGGAGGTGGGTTCGTTGTTGACATTTTCATTACTTGAAAGAAAAGTTTTTGCTGGAGTAAGTTATTTGGTTGACTTACTACATTCTATTGCCTTATACGCTAACTTAATGTAAATTAATTGCACGTGTGAGCCAAAAAGTTAGAAAACTAAATAAAATGATTAAAATAATTAGTTAGCAAGAAGTGTTGTCCAGTGCAAGGGCCACGAGATATTGGTGCATTTATTTCGCATAGTAACTATCAATATTAAACTCACCATTGATGTCGAAATGTGCAGGTGTTGCCAGCTATAGAAAAACTAAGAGGCAATGAAGTGGTGTTCAAGAATGGCGAGTCAAATCCATTTGACTCAATTGTTTTTTGTACGGGGTTCAAGAGATCAACAAATAAGTGGCTTAAGGTAAATTGATTTATAAAGATTTAATAAACGAAAGCATATAAAATAAATCAGAGCACTAATTTTATTATGTAGGGAGATGATTACTTATTGGACGAAGATGGAATTACAAAAGTGAGCTACCCAAATCACTGGAAAGGAAAGAATGGTTTGTTCTGCGTTGGATTGTCAAGGCGAGGACTTAATTTAGCTGGTATTGATGCTCAGAGTGTAGCTGATGAAATCAAATCACTTCTGTCCCTCAAATCAACTGCTTAAGTTAAGATTATTATGCATGAGTGGATTCTGCGTGTGTAAATTTGTTGCCGAGCAGCTTGTTCGGAAATAACGGCATGAGACTGTCCGTTAAGGCTACTCTAATAAAACTCCGAAATTTGAGCATACTTCCATTCATAGCCATGTTCAAAGATTTTGCATCCCTACTTTCTTCCTTGTGCCTCTTCAATTCTACCTTAGAGGACACCAAAAGTGTAATGTACTTCATTAAGTGTACTTAAAATTATAAATGGTAATTACTTAAGTTAAATGCTCAGTGATCGATATTAGCTTGCTTTTCCTATGGTATGGTTCTATTTAGATGGAGTGTTTTATTGGGCCATTGACTCCACCTTTTAAATCTATACTACCACCACTCTTGTCACATTATTTTCTATTAAAATTTATATTTGTAATTAGTTGTTAAGAGAAATGTATAACAAAACTAAAAAGAGATCCGACAGAGAGTCTATTTAACTCACCATCTTAATCATCTATATAGATAAAGATTAAGATAGGACAAACGTCACAACGGACAAGAATCTTATGCATCACCCACCATTAATTCGGACTTTTTAATAAAACAACTTCCTAATAATATAACTAGAGTAATACTACACTTACAAAGTTTTATATGAATTTTTATAGAAAGTGACATGACAAATACTTGCATTGAACTAATATTCACTATCATTTAAAATTCATTTACGTTGTGTGGGAAATTTGCAGAGGATAATT